AAAAAATGTTCGAGTACGAGTCAATTCCGAGTCCAAATGGACACGAGTCCATGACAAGACCAAGACCATTAAAATATGGTCTCGAGTCTCGAGTACTACAACACTGCTACACTCTAAAAAATGCTGAGTTGTTTTAACCCAATTTTGGGTCAAATATGGACAAACTCAAACATTGGGTTAAAAAATGATTTAGAAAATGTAAAAATTTAACCCAGTGGCTCGTGCCTTCAGATCACTTGGACGTGGCTGTGATTACAAGAGGTAAAACAATTTAAATACTGTTCGTTTTCTCACACAAACCTCTCGTTTCGTGTCTTATGGTGCGTTCTATTATACCCAACGAACCGACTCGGACCTCGGATTTGACGTCACGTCCAGACTTCAAGCGTCCTATTATGTTTTGCGTGTCCGAATCGGAGAAAGCTGTTGTCATGGTAGCACTGGCCGAGTACCAGGCACTTGCATTGAAAAAAAATATTATGACTACACCTTATCAAAACGCAGCCATTTGAACTTTAAAAATGTTCACTTTATTTAACGTTTTTCATGTTAATCTTCTGTTAGCAACGTTAGTAATTGCACTCACAACAACCGATTCCCATACCCACAGGGGACGCAGTAATACGAGTGATTATAATCGTCATTTAAAATACCAAAGCGGTTCAAAAACAATGAAAACAATTCATTCTTACAAGTCACAGGGCGCAGCCATCTTGAATTCCGAAACGGATTTCTTGCTCGGTGTCCTCGCGGTTGTCCGACGTCCAAGAGGAGAAATCCGAGGAAAGGGGGCGTGTTGCTAGGCAACGTCTGTCGTCCGATTCGGATCTCCGAGACGGATGAATAATAGAACGCACCATTAGGCCATCAATTACACTTACGAATCATTAAACCATGTTTAATTTGGACTTCTCTGTGCATGCTCTTTGAGGTGGTGACCATAGACCTCCATTATATGACTGATAGACCAACCCGATCTCACGACCAAGTCGTACGAATTCGACGAATGATTAAAAAGTGGCTAATTCGTAACAATTTATACGACCTCACCATAGCTGTCAACATTGAACATTGAAAATAAGGGAGTTTTCCTGGAATCCATCCCCAAAATAAGGGATTTTTTTTTTTTTTTGCAAGATTCTCACCCACAAACTTTAAAAATAAAGCACTAATCCTTAAAAGTCTAAGGTGTTCATAACTAGCCTATGTGTGAGAGAGAAAGAGACAGTGTCATTTAAAGGGGAACAAAATCTACATTTGGATTAGCATGTGTTGTTCTAGCATTTGGACAACAATTTCAACATTTAGCCTATCACACATCTTCCAAAATCCGCAAAATAGGGAAGTGGGCTGTCTGTTTAGTTCAATTACGTTTACACATTTTGTGTAGCTTTAAAGAGCCTATTTAGCCTGATGGTGGACCATCACTCAGAAGACACACTATCCTATCATTATATCCTCCTATAGGCCCAGAACTTTTTTTTTTTTCAAGTTTTTTTTTCTTCTTCATGTAATCACATTGTTAAAAGCATAAGAAACAAATGGAAAAAAAGAAAACATATTTTATTCATATATTTGAAAATCTATTTATAATAATTATTATTTGTTTAAATTACTTTGATATCTGAATTTATGTAAAAACCTAGACTTTCAAACATCAAAATGTAATGCATTAATATGTATTCGAGTACAAAATTACATACAGCTAGCCTAAACATCGTTTCCTATTTTTTTTTTTTTTTTTTTTTTGCCTGGAAACGGAAAGAAATTCCAGGCAAAAAACATGCCTGTCGCGTGAAAAATAGGCGTCAGTTCTATTTCTAGCATGCACGCGTTTTCTGAAGACGCGCGTGTCACGCAGGCAGCGTGCAATAAAAACGGACACGCCACGCAGCCAGTGTGTCTCCGGCCAGCGCGCGCGGCACCGCATCCGAGGATAAACGACTTCAAGCCGAATCTGTCCGAGCCCGTACGTCTCACACAATCAGAGAGTAAAAATACGGTATATTTTACGGGAAAATACTCAAACGGGAAGACAGCGGGAAAAGAGCTAAAATACGTGAGAAACCCGGAAAAAACGGGAGGGTTGACAGCTATGCCTCACTCGTGCGAATTAATACGATTTTGCTAAATCGTACATATTTTACGAATTGGCCAATTCGTATGAATTCGTACGAATGACCTACCCCTTACCCCGCCCCTAAACCTAACCATTACGTGGGTTTAGACAAATCGTACGAATTAGTACGAGTGAGGTCGTACGAATTAGACACTTTTTAATCATGCATCGAATTGGTACGAATTGGTCGTGAGATAATTTTGGACAAGAACGGTTTGACCTAAAAACAAAGACACCTACATCTTGGATGCCCTTGAGGGAAGCTAAACATATCAAAAAATAATTTTAAAGTGATTGTGAACTATCCCTTTACGTCTTTTATGGCTGTTTAAACGCATTCGACCATGAGCGTTTACACTACAATAGCAATCCGGTCATCTGCGTTTTCAAAGACCTCTGGAAGTGTTTGAAAGTGGACAAGCTCAAAACGTGTTAAAAGAGTCGTCCGTGTGATCTGATCGACCAAAACGCTTCTTAGGGTGTAAAGAGTGCCTCAGAAACCACATAGCAACACCCTATCAATGTGGTGGCAGCTTTTTCACATGACTGAAGTAAAAGTCATAAAGAACAATTCCTTTAATGTACTCGAGTCTTGGAGCGGCACTAATAAACACAGTAGAGCCCTTCACAGCAGGCCATTCTTCTGAACTAATAAACTCTGTGAAGGTCCTGTTAGTGCAGTGTGTGTGCTAGTCCTCTATCCCCACACACACAGGTTGCTCCTCTCTCACAGCGCCCCACTAGTGCCCCTCTTGTCCGTGGAATGTGGAAATCATGTCCCCCTTAATTTTATAATGGAGGTGGGGTGGAGGCCTCCCTTTGGTTCAATTTTCACCAACACCATAAAAAACAGCGGTCGTAAGAGCAGCGCCGACATCTGTTTTTTCCATCGGCAGGACTTTAATGATCAGGTAATAAAAGTTTCATTTGACAGAAATTACAACAGATGTTTCAGCCGATGAAGTTAAGATTGAAGTGATCTCTCTGGAGACCTCTCTGACCCGACGGGCCCACCTCCACAACGTCCAAATCACCGCCAGTGTACTTCCACTGCCATCTCTACACATTCAAATCTTTGCAACTTCTTGACTTTTGAATTATCTGGTTAGTCAGGATTTGAGATTAAAAAAAACAACTTTTGCTGATAATTTACTCACCCCCATGTCATCCAAGATGTCCATGTCTTTCTTTCCTCAGTCGAAAAGAAATTAAGGTTTTTGATGAAAACATTCCAGGATTTTCTCCATATAATGGACTTCAATGGGGTCCAAACGGTTCAATGTCCAAATGAGAGTTTCAGTGCAGCTTCAAAGGGCTTTAAACGACACCAGACGATGAATAAGGGTCTTATCAAGCCAAACGAGCGGCTATTTCAAAAATAAATAAAAAAGTTTAAGTTTTATAAGCTCAAATGCTCACCTTGCTCTGTTCTGTGATGCGCGTTCGTGACTCAACAAATCGTTCATTGAATGAACCAAATGACTCAAAAAAAGATTCGTCCATTTAAACTTAAACTTAAACTTTTTATGTTTTTTTGTTAGTGTCATGCGAACCGCAGCTCTGGGCCAGAGATAATCATATAATCGCGTCACCACAAAACATTTTTTATCCTGCACAGATTTTAAAGCGATATGCGAGAAGATTAGCAGGAGAAACGGTATATTGTGATGTATAATATAAACGCTATTGGCTATTTTAAAAAGGGGAGGAGCTGTTTGAAATGCCCCGCCCTCTTTTCCTGTTTCAGTGTCAATTACATCAACACATTGAATAATGCTGTGCGTTTCAAGGCACATCAGTGTGAAACATTTCATTACTCAGAGTTTAAAATACTCTTATAATGGGTTTAAGAAATGTATTTTTTCCTCTGGAATCTGAATGAAAGGTTTGTACTAATCCTTGTTCCGGTATTTAGGCTTAAAAACAAATGAAAACCCGTTTCCAAGAATGATCCGTCAAATATGCACTGATTCAAGAGTGCCTCGCAGGAAGGTATTTGATACAAACACAGCGCTATTATCCCATGAACTCGTATTCAGTCTCGTCTTGTCGACTGATGTGAAAAATGCCATTCTGGAATCAGTGAAACATCCCAAAAACAAGCACACCCACAACAGATATGAAGAATTACTGAAAGTTAAAACCTCAATCAGTGTCAGGAGTGGTTTGTCACATTCAGATTTATTGGCTTGCACTGTCTCAAAAATCGACATTTTTCAATTGGCCCAAGTTGTTCAAATTGAAAATTGAAAAATGTAGATGTGACCAGTCACTAGACAATTTTGAGTTGGGGAGGTTACACTGTAAAAAAAATATTGCTGGTTTAACTTAAAAAATTTGAAAACCTGGTTGCCTTAAAATTTTAAGTTGATTGAAATGCAAAAAGTGAGTTACTACAATGAAGAAGATTGATTTAATCATCAGAAACTCAAAATAATAAGTTATCTGAACTAAATAAATTATTTAAGTTGATTTGACAAAAGAGAAAATGTTGTGATAACAAATCTTGAAAATATTTTTTTTTTTACAGTGTATTTTCAATACTAGCTTACATTGCCAAAATATTTCATACGAATAGACATATTTTTCAGCAGCAGTTTTAGGGCTGAGATTTTAGATTAAACTTGCATGAATAAAGTAATGCAACTTTCACTATTTCTTTGATATTTCCACCATTTTTAAGAATCATTTTTGTCTTCACCAAATGTTTTAAATGAGCCTGTGCGAGTGACACACTTGGTGTATAGGGCATGACAACTTTCTAGAAGTATTTTGCTTATCTATTTACAAACACGTATGACCAATTCAATATTGTGTTCTGTTATTTCAGTCTGAAGATTTTTTGAAATGACTGACATTCTCATGGTTTTCTTGGCGAAAGCGTTTGATTGGCACCTGTTCCGGCCTGTTGAAACGAACAGCCCCCAGATGATTTATGATTAACCCGGGCCACGAGCAGTCTGAGCGCTTTACGACAGATCAGGACTGTGTGAAAGTGCGAGTGTGTGTCTTTCACAGCGCGTCTCATCTCTTTTCCCCGGCCCAACCCCAGAGGTAAGACAGATACGTTCACACATTTCATTTTGTGGTTCCCACGGCAGTCAAAAATGCACCTGACCCCGAGGCTCATGTACTGGGGGATTTTTTTTTATATCCTGCTCTTAAAGGAGCAGCCGTGACTAATGCGTGTTTTACTGTCTCTGTTATGCTGCTGGATATTATGAAGTTTCATGCAACATGACTGGATGTGTGAGTGTGTGTATGTATGAGTGTGGGTTCAGCAAAACACATCCTCTGTTACATTTGTCCCTGTTTGATATGTATGTCTATGAATGTATGAGTTTTAATACACCTTTTTTTTGTTTGTTTTAGGTGTAGTTCACTCAAAAATGAACATTTCTGTTATCATTTTCTCACCAATATATCAATGTATCATAAGTTATAAACTTACTTACTTCAAAACGTTACCATTATATATTGTAGAATTAACATAATGTTCAAGCTAAATTCACAAACAATCATCCAGTTACATTAATAGAACATCTCATCAGAGTTATCTGGTTTTTATTCTCAAAACGTTAGCATGAAAACGAAGGAACAAATAAAGGAGTATTTTTAAATGTTTCGGAATGTTCAGAGAACAATCAAAAGTAACATTCTCATAATGGAATGTTCTCAAATGGAATGTTCTCTTAACGTTCGAAAAACTCTATAACTCGGTTTAGTCCACATTTTCTGAAGCGACTCGATCGCTTTAAATGATGAACAGGCTTTTATTCACATTCATCAATGCACACATCAGTTGTGGCAAACGAAAGCTCAAGCATGTTCATGTTCATGAGGTTCATTCTCTTACGCATCACGTTTGAGCTTCAGCAAGAACCAACACTCTTAGAAGAAAAGGATCGATATAGAACCTTAAAAGGTTCTATTAGCGCTACGGAACCCCTAACTCTTAAAAAAGGGTTCCTCTGGGTTCTATATAGAACCCTGGGGTTCCATACTTGGCCAAAAGAACCTTTTACCAAAAAAATGGTTCTATATAGAACCATTTTGGAGTTCCATATATGAAGCGGGGGATGGAACCATTTCTGGTTCTAAATAGAACCATTTCTTCTAAGAGTGAAAGAGGTTCATTCTCGTGTTACGCATCACGTTTTAAAGTTGTAATTGTGTTGCTGTCAATGGAGGAACAGAAAACTTTTAGATTTCATCAAAAATATCTTAATTTGCGTTCCTAAGATGAACAAAAATCTTACGGGTTTGGAAGGACATGAGAGTGAATATCTAATGACAGAATTTTCATTTTTGGGAGAACTTTCTGAGAACATATTTTTGTCAGTTGGGGAAACCGAACAGCAAGAGGGTGGATAAATGATGACGGTATTTTCATTTAGCTTGTTCTCGTGTGTGTGTGTGTGTGTGTGGTGTATCTATCCTCCCCTCGGGCATAGGCGACTGTTAGGAAATGAATAGAGGCTGTTCTCAATAGCTTTGTGTTTCTGTTTGTTTGTGCCCTCTGTAAGCTGGGTGTTGGTAGGAGGGCTCTGAGAAAGATGGCGTTTCACATGGCCACAGGCGCTGAAGCATTGTTAACCAAACAATACAGCAGGTCCTGGCATTAGCACATCTCTGTTTAAGAGCTGCCAAACAACCCAACAGCAGCGCAGGCCTGCAACTGAACTGAGCTCGCAATACACTCACAGGAATTCTGTCATTCAATACGTCGAAAGATAGGCGTGACAGTACATATGTAATGCTACTCCATTTTAATATTGGATAAATGATTAACCCTCAGGTGCTCTTCGGTCATTTCTGACCGAAACATTTTCTGTTTTGAAATTTTAAAAATCACAGCTTCATCGGAATGTTACGAAACTTGGTGACTTTTATGGCATTGGGTATGTGAACACACACAAAAAAAAATTGAGGTCATGATTCGAGCAATTTAAGTGGTCGTAAAAAATGAGTCACACTTTTGCTCTTCTTTCAAAAATGACCGATCCATAGGAAATGAAAAATTTTCTGAATTTTATTATGTACAATCGACAAATCGGCCACAATTCTAAAAAAAAGTACACCGCAGGAAAGGGGTGACACTCTACAACATCTAGAGTGCAAAACAGACACACCCACCAACACACACGCATACAAACACACTTTTATACACATACACACCAATACATTTTGATTACAAAAAGTATGTTTTGAATTTCTAAAAATCACAGCTTCATCGCGATGTTACGAAACTTGGTGACTTTTATGGCATTATGTATGTGAACACACAAAAAAATTAAGGTCATGATCTGAGCATGCTAAGTGGTCTTAAAAAAAATAGTCACACTTGTGGTCTTTGGTCAAAAATGACCCCCATAGGAAATGAATGGGAAATTGTAAAAAAAAAAAAAAAAAAAAAAATGGAAAAAAATTATGAATTTTTATAAGAAATAGTTTTTGAGATTATTTCAACTATATATTCAAATCCACCAACAACAACAACAAAAAAAAAGTGTTCATAAAAATCTGGGGATTTCACATGCTTCTCCATAGAGAGCTGTACATGCTATCTAGTGGTTACACCATGATTTTACGCTTTTTCTCTATACTGTAACCAGATGGTGCTAATTTTCTTCAAAAATAATTTTTTTTCTGAAGGCCTAGACTCTATATTAAACTAAAATACTGCATTAATAATTTTTTCAAAAAAAATAATATATATATAGAAAAAGATATATATTTTTCCATGGCAAAAATAAACAATAAATATTGCATAAATATTAATAAATTCAATTGAATTGTCTCAAAATACTAAATTAAAAAGAATAAATATTATAGAACAAAAATAAATTGCATTGGTTTTACTGGGATGGAGAAAGTTTCATTTTTAGGTGTCCGGTCACTTTTGACCGGGAAGATAACAAGCGTGACTCCGAAACGAAGAGCACCTGAGGGTTAAGTGGGTGCGTAAATATATTTATTTTAAAATGTAATCTATTTTTATATTATTTATAGTAGACTTATTTTATGTTATAACACTCTGTTTTAACACAAATTTGGGTCAAATATGGACAAACCCAAATGGTAAAAATGTAATTTAAACATTTAACCCAATGGCTGAGTTTGTCAATATTTGACCCAAAGATGGGTTAAAACAACCCAGCATTTTTTAGAGTGTGTGTGTTTTAATGTGAGTTCTCAGTTATGCTTTTTTTAGATTTTTGATGATCAGCTCTGAAATATTTCATGAAAAGAACCAATAATAGACACAAAATAGTCAAGTTATCCTACAGTATGAGTATGAAGCTGTGAAATAAATGTGGAGGGCAGTCCAGATCATTAAATCTCTGACCTTTGATTTCAGGGTTTCTTGGCAAATCTGAGCACAAATTGAGAAATCATAAAGAATTCCTCTGAAACTCCAGATGAGACAGCTGAGAAGCGGAAGATAAAATCTAGATTCAGTTGAGGTATCAAACGAGATTTCTTTATTCAGGCTCTCATATTATCCTATACAGAATGCTCAGTTTTGTGTTTTGGATCAATTCTAATGCGCATTAGGAAGCCTTTCAGTGTGGAGAAACTTGAAAAGGTAAAGAAACACTATCCTAACTGAATAGAAAGCAAAGAGAACTCACTCGAAGGTCCCAGTCCTTTCAGCCTCCATCAATACTAAAGCGACTCGCGGTGATCTCTGACACACCGGCCTTATGGCGTATCATTAACCTGACTGCACTAATAGAAAGACCTGGACACTTAAAACCTTTTAACTAGTCCTGTAATTAAGTTAGTCTGATCACAGTACCATGAATTATTGATATGTTATTGGATTCCAATATCAGCTTTGAGAAATTATTAATAATAGATTACCCATCTGGTGGAAATGGATGTAAACCTCGACTTCCATTTGTTAACAACCTCTAAATACTTCAATATGAATCTAATCTTAAAATTAATTAATGTAGTAATATTGCAATATACTATATATATATATATATATATATATATATATATATATATATATATATATACTGTATATTAGTAAATATAAAAAAAAAAATACAAATAAATATAATTTGGTAGAAAGTCAATTCGTGGAAAATTTCACTTATTAAATCTACAATCTACTAAATGTATATATATATAAAAATATAAAACATGAAAATATATATAAAAATAAATATATATATATATATATATATATATATATATATATTATATATATATATTTTCATGTTTTATATTTTTATATATACAGGTGTATTAAGTAAATATAAAAAAAAAATACAAATAAATATAATTTGGTAGAAAGTCAATTCGTGGAAAATTTCTCCCATGATTTTGCTAACATTGTGCTAGATGAGCAACAGTGAAATGTTTAAGTCTGTCTGGCTATATGAATGTTAACATTACACTGTCTCTCTAAATGAAAATGAAATGTTTGGCCACTCTCAGATTAATCCTTCCACCGCGTGAGTCTTGATGCCATTTATGAAATGTGTGGTGAACCAACAAACAAAGGACAACTCTTAAAATAAGATGACTTTAAGTTGACTTTAAAGAAATCATAAAATGCATGGGAGTTGTGTCGGTCGTGGCAGTCTTGTTCTAATTATGTGGTTTGACAGGCGTTCCAGGATATTCCCCTCACACACACACACACACACACACACACACACACACGCAGCTCCACTGGAGACACATGCCCTGTTAAAGCTCAAAGGACAAACATTGTTTGAATGTGGAGGTCAGAAACTACATGGGTTTATTAATGATAATGAATGTCTGACTGTATTTGCACATATTTGGATTATTTTAATACGCGCATTTGCTATACATGTTGTTTATGCATGTTAGAATATGATAATCACTCACTTTTCAAAAAAAACTTTTGCTGATAATTTTCTCACCCCCATGTCATCCAAGATGTCCATGTCTTTCTTTTTTCCGTCGAAAAGAAATTAAGGTTTTTGATGAAAACATTCCAGGATTTTCTCCATATAATGGACTTCAATGGGGTCCAAACGGTTCAAGGTCAAATGAGAGTTTCAGTGCAGCTTCAAAGGGCTTTAAACAACACCAGACGATGAATAAGGGTCTTATCTAGCGAAACCATCGCTCATTTGAAAAATAAATAAAAAAGTTTAAGTTTTATAAGCTCAAATGCTTTATAGTTTTATAACAAATGTGCATTCGTGACTCTCCTGTTCAAAATGAACGAATCTTTTTTTGAGTCATTTTTGAAATGAGCGATCGTTTCGCTAGATAAGACCCTTATTCATCGTCTGGTGTCATTTAAAGCCCTTTGAAGCTGCACTGAAACTCTCATTTGGACCTTGAACTGTTTGGTTCCCATTGAAGTCCATTATATGGAGAAAAATCCTGTAATGTTTTCGTCAAAAACCTTAATTTCTTTTCGACTGAAGAAAGAAAGACATGGACATCTTGGATAACATGGTGGTGAGTAAATTATCAGCAAAAGTTTTTTTTTTTTTTTTAAATATATTTTAAATAACATGATATTTCATTGCTAAATGAATGATGCTATCAGTTCTTTGTAGGGAAAATGAATGGTAATTTTACTCCAGGAACCCAAACACAGACAGAAGGATGTCGAGGTGAAAGTGACGAGACAGAAAGTCCCTGATCTGATGCAGGTTCTCATGGTGTGTGAGCGTTGAAGAGCCTCAGTGGGAGGAGTTTTCACATCGGTTTGAGTGACAGGGGAAGGCCAGAGAGAGAGAGAGAGAGAGTTTGGGAAATCTTCAGCCTAGAGCCAGTTGGCGAACAGGAGAGGAAATGCACAGAATGTCTTTTTTTTTTGTTCTCACACCTTCGTATTCTCTCGTCACCCGGGGCGTTGAGAAGCGTCGAACACCCCCGCTCACCTGCCCTGCCCTCCCTTGTGTGTGAGAACAAAAATAGTCGAAGGTCTCCTTCAGTTTCTTTCACGCTCGCTCCAAAACCACCTGAGGCGCGCTTCTTTATAAGACACTGTCAGAAATGAACTTACTCCCCGGCCTCTCTCTAACCCGCTTTTAAGATCAATATTAATGCTTTAAGCAAATGACCTCTGCATGACCTTTCACCCTGGCCGACCCACACAACATTAGACCTGTTCCAGCCGCCCATAGACAGTAAAAGATGTACAGGCACTTTCCAACATGAAGTCACTCACACAAAATATTTGTCTTATATTACACTCTAAAAAATGCTGGGTTGTTTCAACCCAAATTTTGGTCAAATATGGATAAACCCAAATGTTGGGTTAAAAATGTCATTTCAAATTTCAACCCAACTTCAACTTTCACTTTCAACTGTACATTTTTTGCCCAAAATTTGGGTTTGTCCATATTTGACCCAAATTTGGGTTGATACAACGCAGCATTATTTATTTCAATTAATAGAAATTATTTTAATCGTTTTAGTTAATACCAACACTGTGTTTTGTTATGCTTAGTTTAGCATCTACTGGATAAATTACGGGTTGCATATTCGAACAACCAAATTGTCCCGAGGAGTTAAACACACTTTAAACAATGCTGTGTTGTATCAACCCAAATTTGGGTCAAATATAGACAAACCCAAATGTTGGGTTAAAAATGTCATTTCAAATTTTAACCCAACTTCAACTTTCACTTTCAACTGCACATTTTTTACCCAAAATTTGGGTTTGTCCATATTTGACCCAATTTTGGGTTGATACAACCCAGTATTTTTTTTAGAGTGTACCTAACTATTTATTTCAATTAATAGAAATTATTTTAATTGTTTTAGTTAATAATAACAACACTGCTGTTTTTTGTAATGTTTATCTTAGCATCTACTGGATAAATTACGGGTTGCATATTCGAACAACCAAATTGTCCAGAGGAGTTAAAGACACTCTAAACAATGCTGGGTTGTATCAACCCAAATTTGGGTAAAATATGGACAAACCCAAATGTTGGGTTAAAAATGTAATTACAAATTTTAACCCAACTTCGACTTTTACTTTAAACGGTAAATTTTTTTATTGCATTTTTACCCCAACATTTGGGTTTGTCCATATTTGACCCAAATTTGGGTTCAAACAACCCAGCATTTCTTAGAGTGTACCCTATAAAATCATTTTTTATTCCCATGTAAACATATCTTGTTTCAAGGATGTTTGTGGTGGAAAACAAGTCAAAAATACTGATTATTTGCAGTGTTGTCTCTCATGTCTGACTGATGTTAAACCACAGCAGACGCTGGACTATCAGCGCGTTTCCATGTTGATGTGCTCACGAAGGGAGTGTTTCATGACACAGTGAATTTAATTTCCTCAATAAAGGCGCCGTATTTTCATATTTTGCTCCAGACATAACAATAAGTCATTACTGTACGAGTTCAATCAGGACCAAACCATCAAAACAACTTTTAATTGTTTGCCAGACGAAGCGCAGTCTGAACGACCTCTCGACCGCAGCTCACAGTTGTTAAAGCTAAAAGAGATTTGCTTTGTCTTCCAGAGTGTTTGTAGGGTCCGATGGACTCTGCAAAGAAAGCAACCAGTGTTTTTTTCCACCTCCAAGATGAACAGAACAGCAAGCAAAAACTGTCAGACAGTGCAGTGATGATGTGGATTTAAAAGAGAAAACCAGAGGAGGTTTTAGGGTGGAGTGTTATGATCTCAGTGGAGATGTTTATTCACCTACAACCCCTGTGCAGCTCAAGCCTTCAGATGGAGAAACACCTCAGTTCTGGGTGGTGATTGAATAAGATGTCGTTTTTTTCATAACTTTACTTTTCATGACCGCCTATATCTCATGTTTATTTGCATTTGGACTCATCTCTCCCAGCTAACTGGGAATGTATTTCCTAATGTTCTTCCAGAAACTTTAATTTTGTTCTGTTATCTGGTATTTAATAACGTTCTCAAAATGTTTGTACAAAAATGCTATTTCATGAACGTTTTTACCCGACACGTTTTAGCGTCATTTTTTTAAATGTTACAACTTGTTTCAGAATGTTCAGAGAACTTTCAAAATTCAAAAGTACCATTCCCATAAAATGGAATGTGGTCTTTATTTTCGCAACCAACCATTTTCGCGTTTTTTTTTTTTTTTTTACATTTTAAACATCCACACTTACGGAAGGGTATTGCATTCACCGAGGAAACAAAATCTCTGTTTTTCTGAATTAACGAGTTAATTATCTTAGAATTACGAGATGACCTTTTGAAAAAAATAAAGTCATTCATTCAGAAAAACAGAGCAGAAACTTTTTTTCCATGAAAAAATTATCTCGTAATTCTGAGAAAATTAACTTGTTAATTCAGAAAAACAGAACAAAAACTTTTTTCCATGAAAAATGATCTCGTAATTCTGAGAAAATTAACTCGTTAATTCAGAAAAACAGAGCAAAAACTTTTTTCCATGAAAAATGATCTCGTAATTCTGAGAATTAACTCGTTAATTTAGAAAAACAGAGCAAAAACTTTTTTCCATGAAAAATTATCTCGTAATTCTGAGAAAATTAACTCGTTAATTCAGAAAAACAGAGCAAAAACTTTTATCCCATGAAAAATTATCTCGTAATTCTGAGAATTAACTCGTTAATTAAGAAAAACAAAACAAAAACTTTTTTCCCTGAAAAATTATCTTGTAATTCTGAGATAATTAACTCATTAATTCATAAAAAAAAGAGCAAAAAAATGTTCATGAAAAACTACCTCGTAATTCTGAGAATATTAACTCGTTAATTCATAAAAACAGAGCAAAAAGTTTTTTCCATGAAAAATTACCTCATAATTCTGAGATATTAATTCAGAAAACTTACAAACTTATTGGGAACATTAGCTAAACTTTCTTAGAATCTATGGCTTTAACGGATTACTTCATTCATTTGTCTATTTGCCCTCAAAAAGCATCTCTATTTTGACATTAACTAGTTCTGCTATTCTCCTTCTCGGGTGACTATTATTATGTCCAGAG